CTGCCAGTCGCAATGGTGCTTTTCAACATGGACATCCGCTCATTATGAAAGGGCCAAGACCCCTAAATGAGCACTGACCATTGCACAGATGTCGGGTGGGGCTTCCAAAGCCATAATGGGAACAGGGCATCTGAATTCCCTACAGGTTAGTGGAATCTGACTTACAGAATTCCTTAGTCAGCTTTGAAAACCAGCTGTAATGTTTAAAAATATCCCATCCTGTCTGACTTTGATACAGTGGCCTACAAGATACTATCAGTTTTGTTGACTTTTGCTCACTAGCCTCTCTATAGAGTGATTGCATAGGAAGCAGCCAAGATAAACTGCTGAGACATTGCCTCTCATACCATGATAGCAAAAAACATGAGGAATAACAACAGTAAGGAAAGGGAGATCTCCTTAAAACAACAACATAACAGCTTTTGTAATGACTCAAAATCTGTGCTGTGAAACGTGGCATTTTCCACACCCAATCATACAGCCAGCCTCCTAAGGAGTGAGCAAATTTGTCAGGAATCCTGATGCAAAACTGTCTTAATTCTCCTTGACGGCACATCAGCTCTCAGCTGAAGTTCGCTGAGTTTTAGTCACTGCTGGAATCAAAAGGTCTTTCTTGGGCAGCTGGAAAACTAGGAGAGGGAGCTCACATCATCGTGACCAAAGGCCACGCTAGAGGATCCACATCTGCAGGGGCAGGAACTAGTGACCTCTCAGCTTTGGGCCAGATCAACGTCATGGAAATAAAAAAAAGTTGAAAGCACTGACTATCACACTTCCTATTAACCGAATTCTCTCACCACCTGAAACTTATATAAAATCCCTGCTAGGCGGTTGTCTATGTTTCAAAGACCAAATGAGAACCATGTGGAGGATCTTTGGCTTTGTGATCATGTTTATTTTTTTAGCTTCATATAGGGAGGAGCAATGGTCCATAAATCTGTAATTACTACTATATAAGCCACTGCTATATACTGTAGCTGGAGCAAGTTAGAGAGAATATGAGCCTTTCATATAACACAAAGCATTGGCTGTGATGCTGCTATGGTGAAAGACTGAGTCGTTAAATATGATGTGGGTGCCTGCAATAGGAGGAGAACAACCATGATGTTCCAGCTGTATGTGTCAAGTACTTATGAAAACAATTAACATTCCAGCATTGCCATTTAGTCAGTTGTTTTCTTTCCAACTCTGCATGGTAAAATCTTTCTAATACTCTACATTTTTTCCTGTTGTCTAACATCTCCTGTGCAAAAGAATCACACAAAATGCTGTAGGTTAGATATCCAAGTCTCAGCTCCATATACAGAAAGGTTCTTATGGCTTGTCTTTCAAAAAGTTCAGATTAAATGACTTAATTGGCATTAACTTGGTTTGTCTCTGTGTGTGTTCATAAGGAGTTTCAAAGAATGCTTCACTTTTAATAAATTATGGCTATTTCCAGCAGGAGGAAGGAAAGCATGGCTCTACTCAGCATGCTTCTGTGCATTGTTTCACTACCAGATCACTGAAGTCTTTGGTATTTCAACTTAAAGCACAATGACCTAAATAGTCTGAGAATGTATTTTTCTTAGTAAGAATTGTATGTGCGAGCAGACTTGGCCTCTCAGTATCACTAACGCTAAAGTCTCCTGACCTCTTTGTCAGTCAGCCCACATGTAGGCTTTTTAATTAAGTCTCCCTATTGGATTTGACTGGACTATTTCTATCTGCGTGGTTCCCCATGAGGAAGAGTAGTAAAGGCAGGAAGGTGACCAGATTTACAGCCAAAGACTGGATCACTTGTACTGCTGCAAAAGTCACTTCAGATTTCAAAGATGTTTGAGTTTAAGGACCCAGGATAGAAAATGGGTGAAATATGAGATTAGATGAACACATGGGATCATGAGACTGCATTTGTCTGCATCAAAATGCACCTTGGCAGAAGCAAGTTAAAAAAGGTATGGAGAATGAGTAGGACTAGCATAAGGGAAGAAGAGGGTGCAGAGAACTGGGAAAGAAAGAGTATTGCTTTTTGAAAGGAGGAAACAAATAGCGGGCTATAGAAAAGAGCATGAGGGCTTCTAGGAAACCTGGAGAGAGACAGAACGGTCTAAAGAGCTGCATCCAGTGCAACAGGGTGTGTTTGGGGCAGTCAGCCACTAATGAAATAAAGATGTTTTACAAAATTCCATACTTAAAAAGGCTCTTTTACCAAACTGACAGTCGAGCTGAATACCTCAGGAGGGGTGACCTAAAAGCCCGGTCATACCTACCTACCTACCAAGCCTACCAGATGGCCAAGACTGCAATTAGGAGGCTACAAGGCTAAGGTGCTGAGTTCCTAGCTCAAAATGAAAACCTTTTCTCAAATTCCAGAGGCATATCTGGGCTCAGGCTGGAGCTGAACTGGGGGAAAGATTATATATTTGACTTTCACTAACATGAGTCAATACTGAAGTCTGTTAAGTCTGTCCTCTGTTTACCACCTCCATTGGCAGCAGATTAATACTGGGGTTGCTGTGTACAATAATTAGTTCTCAAAGATATTTAATTTTGTATGTTATATTTTATGCTTTATGATATTGTGATGCAGAAGACAGTATGTTCACAGTGTTATGAAAGGAACCCTGATGAGCTGAGCATTTCCTGTTGGAGTTACTGAGTTAATTGGAGGTGTTTGTTTTTTCTTACAATTTGATTTTTTAGAAGCCAATTGAGATTAATTACTTTTTGGGAAGCTGGCCTGTTTGGAATGACACTACCGAGGCTGGTATACACAGCAGGGAAAAAAATTCTTTGTTTGCATTTCTTTTTGTAAGTATTCATTCATATAAAATAATAATTAAAAGCATATGTTCATAGTTTACTAGGATTTAAATTATTTATGTATTATATTTAGCATTCCAGTGTTCATACAATAGCCTTTTAATGTCTCTTTAACAGGAGCTATGGGATATTGGGTTGATTCATCAAAACTGTTAGTCTCATGGCCCATTTTTTCCCAAAGTGGTTATTTGACTCAGTGTAACAATACAGCCCTGCATATGGCTATACAAAGCCCATTCTCCACCAACAATAGTCCAATTAACATCACTGTTCCACAGGGATTTGGTTGGTGTTCTGGAGAATTTGATTTTTTGGAAGAGTACAGTGCAGAAACAAAGAACATGAGCTGGGAGAAGAGGCCTCAGTGTCAGGAACGAAAGACAGGAGGACCAGTATAGAAAGCAAAAAGTGACCTAAAATACTTTTAGATGAGTTATAATGCATTTGTTGAATGGATGAAGAAGAACTTTTCACACTTGCTGAAAATTTATATATATATATATATATAATAATAAAGATTCACAGGACTATTAGGGTCAAGCTAAGGAGGACCAGGGTGCTGCCATTGTGGAAATTAGGTGACAGAGCTAGAGAAACCCACATTTCTTTAACCCAACTCACTGTTAAATGAATATGAAATACTGTAGCTCAGCTTTGGGTCTTCCCAGGGACGGAGATATGCACATGACTGCCTGCGTATGTGAACACATGTAAAATCATAGCTGTTATTAAAATAAGAGGTTTTGGCAGGGAGCATTAAGTTTTAAATAGAATCTATTAGACATTGATTTCCAGGAGCAGTCTCAAAAGAGGAAAAAGTAAACTCAGTCTTGGCCAAGGAATCACAACTGCTGCAAAGAAAGCATCCTCTGTTGAGCTATATGATTAAAATCTGGGTTTTTCTTAAAATCTTTTCTTAAATCTTTTCTTTTTTTCATTACCAGTTAGCTAACATAGGTAAAGATAATGATGGAAAACACAGTGTGATTTCTCCATCTTTACTTTTTTATATTTAATCAGTTAACAAGCTTCTTGATTCTTCTCTTCTTTTTATTGCTTATTGAACAGGATGTAAGTATAAGAACTATGAGTGTTACACATTTTTTCTTCTAGCTAGGTAAAATATTTGGAAACCTGGATACATGGCAGACAGCAGTAACTGCTCATGCACTGGCAAAGGTCCCACGCAGCAAAGAAAAGCTTATGAGTTGTTTTATTAAATCATTTCAACACCGGACAAGAAATTTGGGCCCTACTGAAATCAATGGAAGTTTTGCTATTAGTTCCAGGGCAGCCTTGATTTTACTTTTTGTTCTCAAGTATCATGAACATGTGTGTGATATACTGTCAATTGGGGATTATCTGTTGCCAGATGATCCCAGCAACGAATTAACAACCTAACCCAAACTACCTTCAGAGCCATTCGAGATACTCTATGATGCACTTTTCCTTATGCTTCCAAATCTATGCTGTATCTCACCTTCTCCTTACAGAAGATAAATGTTCCAAGGACAGCATATTCTAAGCTTTAATTAACATATGCTTTGTATTATCTCTGTTGTGTGTTGTGCTTTACCCAAATGGTCTTATACATATTTTCACAGGTGATCATGAGCTGAGTGTAGCATGTGCATGTGCCTGACTTCATGTGAACACACTCAATGCACACTCTTGATTCCCTTCTTACATTGTTCTTCCTGGATCCAACCCTTCCCCATTTTGAAGCTTTTTAATTTTCTCCAGAATGCCAAGCCAGACTCCCACTCCTATCGGCAGCTTGTGATAGGATGAGTAGCAAAAAAGAAAAAGTTAGATATGACATGTGGTGAACGTAAGCCTCATCAGCTGAGGGACTTCTCAAGAGTTTCGATGTACATTCTTTCCTGCCTATTGGTGCTACAATGTGTGGGCATTTGGGTGCTTGCAAGAAATAAAGTCCAAATACTTTTGTTTGGTTTTTGCTGTTTTTATTGATACTTCATTTTTCAAATTACAGTTTCTTTTGACCTAAAATAACAGCTGTATGGCTTATTTTGTGCCATATTCAACAATTTTCCTTAAAACAACTACTTTCTTGAAATGTGTACTTTACTTGTTCAGAAAGTTAACTAAGGAAGCAGCTTGTTCATCTGGTGTGACACAGTTGTATGGAAATATAATTGTGTGACAAACCCATCCGATACCACTGTGAATTTCTATCTGCTGTAAGCTGCCTTGTCGCCCAACAGCTGACTCTCCTGGGAGGTAAGTCCTTCACTGGGAGCTTCACTAGGGCTGTTCTCTGCAGATGGCTCTCCATTACTTGCAATTCCTGAAAAGGCAATATAATTAAGATTAAAACAAATGTCATATCTTTGATGCAACGAGCTAGAAGGTATACACTTCAATGACACTTAAGAGCCTTTTTATGCAGCTATAAATGTTCAGGAAGCTATTTTTCTCAGTTTGTAGTCCATTTGCAAAATGCTTTAGGGTAATGACAGATCACCTAATGGTAATTAATTACCATGCTTCCAGCATGCTTTAAATAACTGCCACTGGAATGCGTAATAGTGTGCACTCCACCTGTGCAAGACGTTCTATTTTTCGTATTATCTCCTGATACTTACCTACCAGTCAGGAAGTGTGGGGAGCATTATTTTTGCATCTGTCTGGAATACATAAAGCCCCAAGCACCCACCTCTGATAAATCTCTTCTTCCTTGCTCTTTACCTTCTGTGATTTTAGTCTTCCACCTTGTTTCAGAAGCACAGTTGCCTCAACAAGAGCAAACTGTGCCATAAAGTGTATTGATGGTGTTTATTTAATGTATCCTACCCAGAGTGCTCTCATTGCTGCACAGATGTCCCTCATATGAAAGGAATCTGTTTTCTAGTGGAGATTTCCAAAAAGAAGGTGTGAATAGAATGGGTAAAAGATGAATGCTAACCACAACATTCCTGATTCGGTCTTGATTCAAGTCTGAACTATGAACACTGTTGCTTTATTTGGACTCTTGTGTGGCTACACACAGTGTCTCAGAGCTAATGGAGAAGGCTTCAGCTTTTCTAGCCATTGAATTTTCTGCAGGTGGGGTCCAGTCTGGCTAACTTGGACATGTAAAGTATGCCTAAATACCTAAATTTAGGCACATGAGTTAGGCAGACAAGATTTCACTTTGGAGACACTAGAGGTATCTCCTTTTCCCCAGTTGCAACACTGCTTACAGAGGCACTTACTTATTTTAGGAGGTCTGGTTCTGTTTAGATACCAGTTAGATGAGTAAGAAATGTAGACTGGATCCAAGTCTACCTGTTTGGGATGCAGCCAGAGGCCCCTTATAATGGGACTCACTGTTATGCAGCGCAGTCCACCACACTATGCAAGGGGAATTTTAGTATTCAGACATACTGTCTGAATATGCATAAACATTCTGGAGCTCCTGTTTTTAACTGAATTTAAGTTGTTAACACATTCCCTGGAAAAAGCCATCCACAGCTTTTTTCCACAATGGCCACTCTTCTTGTTTGTCGTTTTGATGTTTCCCATGGAAACCATCATGATTCAGAATATAAAGCCTGTCTTTGAAATGCAACCATGGGAACTCCATATACTAAATCCAGACCTTTTCAAGCACCACCACTTTCATAATTCCCCAGGTAAACTGCTCCCCAAAATGCCAACTTTACAAACTGGTTTCAAACAAAACTGCAACAAATTTATACATCATCTGCAATGAAACAGATTCAAACTTTCCTCCATAATTTGTAAAGGCACTGCCAGTAAATACCATGAAAAATCATTGCATGTATGAAATTACTTTTGTTAAATTATCTTCAATTATGACAACATACATTTCAATTATATGCCAGGAACAAATTATAGATTCCATCATTAAATATTGCAGTCTGATCACAAAATGAAACACCTACTTCAACTTGGACAATATTTTTACTAAATGGAAAGAAAATTACAGGTAACAGTTAAGCCGGATATACACACAACAGCTTCTAGATCCAGCAATGAATAACCTAAAAGACATGTAACTTCAGCTGTATAAGAGATTCTAACTATGAGAGGCTTTATTCCAGAAACTGCAATTTATGAGTTTAGGAGTAACTCAGTTTTCTGTTGGACTGAGACCTAAGGCCTAAGACATTGAGCTTTGAGACTTTAGTTATCCCTAATTTGACATTTCTAAGTCAAGACATTTCACATGTCAGTAAACAAAGGATCAAGAAAAAAATCTGAAAAGTCAGTTGCAGTTAGATTTTATGATCATTGGGTTGTCCAGTTCTTCTCCATTTTACTGAAATATATTGATTTTTTTTTTTTTTTTTTTGCTTACAGATCACAGATGATATATGAATCTGGAAAGACATTGATTTGAAGGAAGAGGTGAGATGAACAAAACAGGATTCATCACAGTTGGTTGAGATTGCATCAAAATAGACCCTCTACAGCTTTACCCTTGGACGTGAAAACTGCATTGTTTCATTAGGAATGCCTCTTGGTGCCACACTTGTAAACTCCATCTACTTGGCTTGAGGCCACAAATTGCAACCCACAGCAACTGAGGCTCAGCAGTCAGAATGAAGAGTGTATCATACAATCCAAAAACACTATCATGAAGATTTATAATTATTGAAAGGCAGGAAACTGCTCTTTTTTTTTCCAGTATGTGTTAGATTGGATTTCACATTAGCTGGCTGACAAATAATTAGTTCGCCCTCAGGATGGATTGCAAGGTACGTCATCCAAAAATGGTTTGCAGCATTGGTCTCTCAAAACTAGCATCCAACATCATGCCAGGATCCCGTACAAGAACCTGGCAGCACCTCAGGAACAGAGTCTGGAGCAGTCAGGTACACAACAGAGGTGCAGTGCTTCAGCTTTGAAGGGAGGTACAGCAAGCACCTCTGGTGCAAGGAGGCACACCAACCAAGCAGCAACATGATGCTTAGAGACTTAAAAAAAAAAAAAAAAGATTTCCATTCTCTAGACTGAAGACATTCTACAGTGTCATTTGTCCACTCCTGCAGAATGTGATTTTTGGGAGCAATGCAAGTGATGAAATTGCACTGATGAACTGACAGTACTTTGGCATGAATTTCAGCACAGTCTTCTCTCAAGAAGAAATTGAGGATGCTCAGCCATCAGCATCTGAAGTTCATACAGTCCTTCTAGCTGAACTGATGAACATTACGAATCTTTTTTCACAAGGAAGTGGGCTCAGATTGCTATCAAGACACCCACAGCAGGAGTCTCTGGGAGTTACCATCCCATGCTGAGGTCTGGAGCAGAAACGGGTTTGATGTGATGCCTATTTAAGTAGAAGTCATATGAGAAGTTTCAGTATTCCAGGATGAAATAAGATTAAAGATGACTATCAAAGCAAGGTGACAAGCCAATGTTGCTATGAAATGGAATTTAGTAGAAATGAACTGTGTAGCTGCATTACCATGGTGCTGACGCCAAGCAAATACTGGCTTGAAGAGCAGGCAGGATGTACTCACTTCTCCTTGCAGAATAACATGTTGACATGTACTTTTTAAACCTTCTCCTTGACAATCCAGACTCCATAAATCTCACACTGTGTGGCTTGTTTTCAAAAATTTGACTCATCTTTGTGAACTCTTTCAGTGTGTTTTTCTCTCCCTCTCTTAATTTTTATGTTTAACATTCAAGTATTTGGTTTTGGCCACTGATGAGGGCAGGATATTGAGGTAGGCAGACCATTGGACTGACCCATACAAGGGTTCTGTTGTTGTGTTCTTATGCCAGTTTGGATGGTTTTAAATCTTCTCCATCTTAAAAACAATCTACTGTGGTAGATATTTTCCCACCTTTTTTCGGGATTTTCTGTAAATGCTGGGAGTAGCCTCTGTCCGTGGTGCTCGGTCAACAGTCGTTCTGCCAGAGCTGTGACTTCAACTCAGTCTGGCATTACACAGCCATAGTGCTGCAAGATTAAGTCCCAAAAGATCTAGAAGCTATATCCAGGACAGTTTAAACATCAGAAGCAAGCTTTGCAAATTAGGAGTATCTCGACCAGCAGAAAGCCATCAGAGAGGTCAAAATATCCCCTCTGAACTTGAAAGACACTGAGGGATACTGAGAAACTGATGAAAAGGCCTACAGCAAAATCTTGAGTCCACTTTTGAAGAAAGATCATGAGTAATGATTCAGGCTCTCTCTTGAACAGAAGCATTGATGCTTTGTGTTTGCATCAGAACCACCAGCTTGATGGTTCTGGGACATTATAGTTTTGTGTCACTCAAACATCAGCCTCAGTCTACTTGAGAGGTGGTCTGTCAGGCATAGATAGGCTAGGTAGCTCAGTGTCTTGGAGAGTGCATTTTGTTCCCAGAAATGCAACTGCCCTCCAAAGCAGAAACAGCCTGGACTGTGTTCACTGTGAAGATGAGTCCTTAGGACATAAAAAACACTTGTAAGCTTGCAGGCCTCCAAGAATAATTAAAAACATCTCAGCCTGCCAAAAAGGGATGGTTTTGTTTGCTTTTCTTGAGGCTATCCAAATTTATTTACAACATATACAGACATGAAGGGGAGTTTATTTACCAGAATAAATTGAGTTTTCAGGGCAGAGCAGCAGATTGAAATCTCGGCAGAGTTGGTCTTAATATTCTAAGCAGTAAGAAAAAATTGAAGGAATCTCACAGCTGCATGAAAATTTATGGATTCAAAGGAGAAATACAAGGGGCATAACAAGCACAGCTATAAAAAAAACCCGAAGAAACTATCTAGTGTGAAGTCAAAGCATGCAGGATCCATACTGAGATATATCTAAAGCCTCAGTTGCAACTTTATAGTGGATAGAAGTTACTGTGCTCCTCCTAAGTCATATGAATCTCAACATTCTCATGTTAGATGCTTCCAGTAGACAAAAGTCCAGTTTAGTCAAAGCCTATATTATGACTGCACATAGAGAGCAAGATATAGCTTTATCATATCTTCTGTAATCACTGCAAGAAGATTTCTCTAGCCCTGTCTCCAGGACAATGGAACTTTATTACACATTGTCTGCTCTGAAATAATTTTGTTTAGTATTGCATCAGGAGAGTCTCAGCTATATACCCTGGATAGTGCAAGATGTTTCATCTATGAAAAGTATTTTTCCACAGTGACATAACTATAATATTAACAGGACTACAGACAGAAGGAAACATTAAGCGGAGAATTTAGGTTTTATTTAATGACAGAAAACATTCTGCTCACCTGTGGATGCTTTCAGTCTTCTGATATAATCAGACCAAAAGGAACAGTCTGCTTTTTTCAATCCTTTAAGAGTTGGCAAGGAAACAGTGAACTCCTTGTAGTTATCACCATCATCATTTGGCAGATACATAGGCCATGGGGGCATCACCCCTGACATTCTTCTGGAGAAACTATGAGGGTAGTTTGGATTTCTAAGGAAACGGAAGAAATGATCATTAGGAAATAATGACATGAACAGTAAAATGCAAAAGGAGATCGGTTGGGTCAAGGAAATGTGTATCCAGTCCCTCTGACCAGTAGGGTTCAAATTCAGTCCAGACCAGTGACTCGTTCACAGTGTCTCACCTGACAGTAACTTGTTTGTCTGGTTCACTTCCTAGGGAACAGGTACACAACAGGTATAGACACAGGCTCATGAACACCCTCAACAGGCCTCGGTCGCAAAGCAACCCAAGGTACTCTAAAAAGCATGTAAAGTCACAGTTCCCACACAAGCTTTCCAGAGATACTCCTCATTCTCAAGCATGGTGACAGCACAGTACAGCTGAGGGTTATTCGCAGCGTAGTTGGTAAAGGATGCACTGTGTCTTCATGTGCTTTTCCCTTTCTTCTGGGAATAAGGGAACTCTTAGCCAAGACCCTTCAGAACTGGGGTCCTAGAACTAAGCTCTGGAAACAACACCAAGGCCTTTGTAACCCCCATATATTTAAGCAGAATTTGCAGCTGCTCTATGGAGATAAAATTCCTATTACTTCTAGCTAAGTGTCATACTACAAATCTTCAGTATCTGCTTGACAACTTGGCCATGACTTTCCAAAAGTGTTGACCCAAGCCCCCTCTGTAGGATTACAAATTGCTAGATGAAATGGAGGCTACTTGAGTGAGGGCAGGATCTGGACTACATTCCCTCTACTCCTTGCCCCCTTCCCAATCATAGCAGTTCTTAAATGTCACATACTTACCCAGAGTTTACAAAATTAGAGATATACTGCATAATTTGCAAGGAAAGGCTCTTTTCTTCCAGAGTAAATTGTTCTTCATACTTTGGGTAGAATGGCAGTCCAAATGCATACTGAACATCCAGCAAGAGCTCCTGACCTGAACTAAAAAAATATTTATATAAAGATAATTAAAACCATCATTTATTTATTTGGGTGAGAAAGGGAACTAATTTAATTTGTAGAATAAAGCAAAATTTTAAATAATTAATCGCCATTAGTTAGAGTGTGGTGAGCTGTGGGGCTTCTTCAAATCAGAACATAAAAGAAAAGCAAGCAATTACAAGGAGAATTTGCCATTAAGTTAATGTAGGCTCTTTAACATTTCTTACAAGAGGAAACTGTGGAAGACAGCAGGCCATATTTTCTAAATTAACTGGGTGTATAAGAGACAGTGATAGAGGGCAAAAGCCACTTGGCTATTCCTTGAACGCCTCTTAAGTTTTGTACAGATTTTCACGAAAATTGAATTCAGAAAGTGGAAGCAAGTGGTGACATGGAATCTGGCAGCCATAACGGAAGGTTAATTATGGTTTATTTCACAGATTTGGAATAAAATCCTGGCCCTTCTTAATAGCAATTGGAGTTTTTCCATTTACTTCATTGGGGCCAGCATTCTGCCCCAAATCTTTGTATAAGGAAAGATGTAATAGGAGATGTTTATGAAGATTTCTCTTAGACATAGTTTTAATCTAATTTCTCTGCTGGCTGGGTGGTTTTGGCTCATACAGTCTGTTCTCCCGAAGTTTGATATATGGCAGTCAAGTCAAAACAGCTTGAGATAATCACCTAGATCAGATTTAAGAAAGAATAATTGTTGTTTACTTCCATGCAATAATTAACGCATATGATAAGGAATATTTCAACAATTCAGACGAGACTGGCCAGGCAAGACAACCCTTGTAGAACCTAGTAGCAAAAGTTACACAACTCAATATGTTCAAGTCCTGCAGAAAAACAGTGGGCAACTTCTACTAATAAAGTTATAACTAAACTATGCTCAACACATAGCTTTGAACCACATCTCAGAAGGAGACATTTCTGGTATGGAGTCCAATTGCATTTTCTGTATCCCACATTTAGACAAAGGTCTTATTGACTTGGTTAAATGTTGCATGAAGGCAGACAGCATCAGGGGACCTCGGAGAAGGAACAGATGTCTGCGAGGCCAGGACAAACAAATCCCAGATCCACTCAGCAAGATTTCATCTGCAGTAGCTGCAGAGGTTGTTGTCAAAAGGTAGCACAAGTGAAACTATTTTAAATTTGGACATGAAATGCAGGGGCATTGATATGACCCTGATACTGCCTCTAATGGAACAAGGGTTGTAGTTCAAACCATTATGGGGGCAGGTGGAGTGAAAGCAAGATGACTCCTTTACATCTTGAGTGGTGGCACCGAAGCCTCTATTTTGAAAAACAAACACACAACCCTCTAAATGAAATACATCTTTGGTTGTATTTTCCTTAGTCTTATCATAATACCTCAGTAATACTTTGCATCTGGAAAGTGAATTATTCACAGATTATTCACCAAAAAAATGTAGAACTGAAACAAGATTAAAGCATATTTTTCTTCCCCAAATGTTTATAGAAGGATTAAGCAAGATCATAGTTTAATAATTTTGCTTTAAAAATAATTTGTTTGGCCCAGTATATTACAGCAATGTTTAGTGTCAGTATTGCAGCAAAGGTACTGTATGCTTAAAGGAGCTATTTTCTTTTCAATAAAGAGTCACTTTTGAATAGAATAGAGAACATAAAATTAGTTAAGATGCAATGAAGGGCCAAATGTACCCATTTAGAGAAGGCATAGCAGAGGTGAACTTTGCTCTAAATCTAAAACGAGAAAGTTGGGACTGAGGGTTTCCCCCCAAATGAGACTGTGTTTGCAGCCTTCATGTTTCTAGAGGTGAAATCTCTTAAGGTCACAGCCCAGACTAAAATTCAGCAAACTCCTAAAGAGAGAACTTATTAGGATCGAAATTATTTGTACAACTGTAATGGGTTTGATACAGAGACATAAAGTGGTACAAAACTCTACAATTTCATGGGCTGCTTTCAATATTTCTGATTGATACCACCACACCCTGGCCAGTGACTATCAGTAGTTAGAGAATGAGAAAAAAACCATAAGACTAAGAGGGGAAAAAGGCACATATATACGTGCACAGAACAGCAGTAAAGACAACCATGGAACATCTAAATGACAGCTAGATGGAAAATATCAGGGGAACATTTCCGTTTCCTCCCTCAAAATCTGTTCATCTTTCATTACTGCCAGAGGGGAGTGCCAATGGCCAGAAACACCCAAACAAGGATTTTGGAGGAGCTCTGAGCACACTCAAGGTAGCACCAGGTAGTGATACTGTTTTCAATGGAAGTGGAGTGAGAGAAAGAGAGGAGTGACAGATAAGCATGTAAAACTTTGATGTTATACACTGCTAGCTCTGCAGGGAGGTTTCTATTTGCTGAGCTCCTCCAAACTGCACTCCTGAAACCCCAGGGTGCCATATACGTGGCTCCACAGCATCACCTCTAAGTGGCCCAGCAACTGCTGGAATTCAGAGGACAGTTTGATAAAAGGGAGGACTGCAGAGACAATGGCAAAAGGGATTTTTAAAGTGTTTTTAAGGAAGACAAACTAATAGCAAATAACTTCTCCTACAGAAGCCTCTTTTCAAGGAACAGATCTGTTATTTTAATAACAGCAGTGAACGTAGTTACGTGTAAGGATGAAATCTTGGCTTTGGTGACGTCACAGGACTAGTACTGCATGCAAAGGTATTGCTTCAGATCTTCTGTGTATACCTTTTCTTTTTAAGATGTCGACAATTTTAGAAACAGATTCACAGCTCTTCTTACGTGACAGTATGACAAGCTGATAAATTGAGCCACGGGGAAGCCAGGAGCCAGATCCTGCCACTTTGTTCACACTAAAGTGAGCTCCCCTTGGAGAATTATTACTTCATTTCAGAAAGAGGCACTACTGGAGTTCAGTTATCCAGTTTACAGAAAAACAGGTAGTAAAATCAGAAACTTTGTGACATTCATAGCCAACAATTTAACAGCAGACCCTGAAATATCACTTGCTGGGAATTTTCATTATACAGTGCCAACCCATTTAATTGGGAAGGTATTGGTTCTTAGAAAATTTTCCTTAAGCCTGAGATGGAGTTTCCATTTAAATGTTTCCAACTAAGAAAGAGAGAAAGGGATTTCTTAGCCATCAATTACTCTACTGTGCTCTCTATAGAACTGTGGCTATTTTTGCATACAAAGAACAGCTTCAATAGGGAAGAGTAAAAGATGAGAAGGTCAGAATTTAGAACAAAAATACCCAGATTACAGGTGATTTGGTTCAAATTCTTGTTCCAAATCAAACAGAGCATAGGTGTAAATCCAGATTTCCAACAGTTGAAGTGAATATCTTAACCACAAGCTTTAGGAACAGTTAAAAAAAAACAAACCCCAAACAACAACAAAAAAACCCAACACAGAAATCCTCAAAAATTTTCTTTCCAGGATGGAATTGTCATTAATGGCTATCCATAATCATGGCAGTCAAAACAGAAGAATATGATCTGGCAGACCACCATGCTATTCTATGTTAGGACTGAATGCACAACTTAGAGCTGGGGCTGCAGATACCTCACACTGTGATCCACTGTAAATTAGGACATATATCTCATTTTGAACTTTGTCCTCGTTCTAGATCTGGCTAATAATTTCATACTGGAAACTCATTTTTATGATTAATGACTGACTATAGCCTAACAGTTCTCTTTTTTTTTCTTCCATTTAAAAATAGTCCTTACTCTCCTAATGTAACAATTTCAACTAATCTCAAAGCCTTTTGAGTCACAGCTTCTATTCTTAGTTCACTTAATAGAGGTTTTGGTTCTTTTTTAAAACTCCACACATAGATAGAAGCCAATGTAAATTAACTCAAAATTCAAATGATATCCTATACAATACCAATATACCAAACTTCGCACTGCTATCCAATCATTTAAATTTTAAAATGAGAAGATAAACATAACTCTAGCTAGAGTTCAGCCAGAGTTACCAGCAAATTACTCAGGATGAAAAAGAAAGTTGAAGAAGAATCAGTTTGTCATTAGTGAACATACCAAAGGGATATTTATTTATCAATCTTTTTAGCTGTATTGACCAATAATGATAGATATTTTAGTCCTCATAAAGCACAGATAACTATTAACAGAATATTTTAATATATATGGTCTAGAACAAGAAACTAGTATGTGGCCATGAGTTTACTTTTCTTTTTGTGCTTTAAAATTTTTTACTGATAACTAGGCAAGGGAACCACAAAAATGGAAGTTTAAACCTACTGAAGAACCTGACACCACATCTTAAACAGTACATGGGAGGAATTTAGTTGATATTTTCACTTGAAAATTCATTCTACCTTCATTCATACAGTTTTAGCCAATTTTCTTCATACTTCTTTTTCTACAATTTTATATACTCAACCTACTGTCCCTTTTGTGACATAAGCACCCCCTTTTTCACAAGGGATACTGTTTCCGCATTCTGCTTGCCTTTTTTTTTTTTTTTTTTTTTTTTTTTTTTTTTTTTTTTTTTTTTATGAATGATAAGGTTGGAATAAATATAGTCTAGCAGCCATATTTCTCAAGCCCCAGCCCAAAAAACATTGACCCTCAAATGATCTTCAGTCTCCCCCAGCTTTGACTACAGATGTTGGCCAAAATTCCCATTACCCTATGTGATATGAAGCCAGGCTACACAGCCCAGTAAGATAGTCCTAGCAAAAACCTAAGCAGATAAAGTCAGAGGCTTAAGTTCCCAGCCCCGTCACGTTGGGGACAGTAGCATCATTAGTCATAAATGGTCTACTGGGCAACTCCTTCCTTCTTCAATGCCTCCACAACCCTTTCAGTTCAGCTACAGCATTGCAACCCAGCCTCTTCAGGAGGTGAAATAGAGATATCTGTTCATTTTGTTTCAGCTACAATGATTGTCTGAGAAATTTAGAAGAAACAGTCTACTCAGACTCATGTTAGTCACTAAACAGCAGATATTGGCGATCTGCAAAAGACTTGTGAGATAA